GCATTTAAATAAAAATGTCCGCCGCTTTTTTCCGGCTTTTAGAAAAGTCGGAAAAGAGCGTCTACACTGGCCCCGATCCTCCGGAAAAAAAGTCCTTTTCCGGAGGATCTTATTCCTACTTTGAAGTAAGAATAAGATCCTCCGGAAAAGGGCGCTTTTTCCGGAGGATCAGGGCCAGTGTAGACGCTCTTTTCCGGCTTTTCTAAAAGCCGGAAAAAAGCGGCGGACATTTTTATTTAAATGCCGCGGGGGATATTTAAATCCCCCGCGCATTTCCCTACTACGATGGCTGAAATTAACATGCCCCTTCCGGAAAAGGGGCCAATGTAGACGTAGCCCTAGAGACCATGTCAGCTCTCCCGTGGGAGTTAATGGTAATAATTCCTGCCAGTGCTAGCCCACTGGGAGCCCTAAGAAGGCACATTAGCCCCCATACGCTGAGAAAGTCGTAGTTCAGGCATGACTAATCTAAACTTGAGAAGGAGCCAGAATTTTCTAATACACATTGCCAAAGAGCAGTTATATGTCACCAGCCCTGATCATGTCCTCACCACCACTGTCAGCACATCCCCCCACTCCCACTGATCAGAGCCTGTTCCTGCCCACTGTGATCAGCTCTTTCTGAATGGGAGACACTGGAGGGGAGAAGCATGGGTGTGACAGGTTCAGTGGAGAATGTGGGAAGTGGCAGGATCCTAGGAGAAAAGGGCAGAGGGGGACAGCACCTAGGGCAGAGTTGGGGATTGAACAGCCTCTGGACCAGTGGAAAGTTGGCACTTGCAGCTCCAGCACTGGATTTGGTACCTATGAAAGGAGTCCCATATTATCTTCTGAAGAGACACATGTGGCTCTGGAGCTACAGGTTGGCCACCCCTGTCAGGCTATGTCTACACTGGCGGGTTCTTGTGCAAGAACCCTCAGAGCATCCACACTGCCCACCTGCTCTTGTGCAAGAAGATTTACAGTATGGTGTCAGAAGAGTTACGCTCTTTTCTAACAAGTGTAAGCCCTCTTGTGCAACAGGGCAGTGTGGATACACGGCAGGGGCTTCTTGCACAAGAAAGCCCTATGGCTAAAATGGCCATCAGAGCTTTTTTGCGCAAGACAGCGTCCACACTGCCATGGATGCTCTGGCGCAAAAGCACATGGCAGTGTGGACGCGTTCTTGTGGAAGAGTTTTTGCACAAGAGCTCTTCCACAAAAGAGTTCTTGCGCAAGAAGCCACAAGTGTAGACGTAGTCAAACAGTCAAGACCTTATAATGAAAAGTAAATAGGGGGGGCCCGTTGAGCAAGTCGGGGCCCAAAGCAATTGCTCAGTCTGCATGTGCCTGACACTGGCTCTGATTCTCTTGAGTTCGATAGCAGCAGGATTCACTTTTTTTAATGTGAGCTCTAAGTGTGACACCGTGGTGCTGAGGGCATGGTGGGACCCTGTTCAGAGGAGTCCACTTCCCTCCGAGCGATGCTGCCAGATGCTGAGAAGCCATTTACATGAGCTGATCGAGGACCCGTAAAATGAGGCAGGACCTCAGAGGCCAACGCTGAAGGGAACGAAATCCGCCCGGGTCCAGAGAGCTGGGCTAGGTACGTCCTCTTCCGTATATTTGAGTCACGAGAGACCCTTGTTCAAAAGCTCATTGGACACGCACCCACCAGCCGCGGAGTATCGACTAGCACTCGAGGAAGAACAAATACTGTGGTGACTGACATCCAAGACGCTCCAAGCGCCCTGCAAAGGGGAGGGACATCGCGCCAACCCGAGAGCACCGTCCAAATAACAACAAACCCGCGACAACAATAATAGACGGAGAAGCTGTGGCAAGGAGAAGCTAAGTCACTCACCAAGGCCTCACAGTAGGTCTGAGGCAGAACGGGGAATAGAATCCAGGTCTCTCAATTCCTAGGCTTGTGTTCACTGTAAGGGCCTGCCTTGTTGCCTCACAGTCAGAGTGGGGGGTGGGTGCATTGTCCTTGGGCAAACGTCTGTCCCCAGAGACTCACCAGAGCTCCCGAAATCTGAGGAAAGGGGGTGTGATTTCCCATGGTTTTGTACCATGTTGGTCACACCTGGGCCAAGCGGCTATCAGCAGCAGCTTCCCTCATGTGGCTGTGACTGGCGGCCTGGCTCGTAGGGCTGGCAGTAACAGGAGAGTGGGAGCTCAGGCCTGAGGGGATGAAATTCAATATCCCTCCCGGCGTGCGAGTCAAAAGAGGGCGAGGAGCCTAATGGAGATGAGAGCAGGCAAGCTTGTGGGGAGGACAGACGGTCCAGGGCAACTCTGGGGACCCCGCTCTGCCACAGCCTTCCTGTGCGACCTTTGGGGAAGTCTGGGCCTCTCTCCACTTTATTTTCCCATCTGGAAAATGGGCACAGGTTTCTCTACCTCCCAGAAGATCTGTGAGGAAAGGATTCTGAGGGGCTTACATGCTACATTCATGGGGGCCCAATAAGGGTGCTAGACAGAGAAGAGCATGTGCTGGAGTAACCAGGGGGCAGCAAGAACAGACTCCGAGGTGTGTGTGGGGGGGTTGAACCAGCCCCCCGCTTCCCTTTGTACAGCATCTATCCCTCCGCCCCTCTGTGCAGTGCAGGGAAAGCCACGCAGACCTACTGACAACCACAGACAAGAAGGCGTTGAAATGTCTCTAGTACCTTTACCTGCAGAGGGTTCTTTGTGCTTATGGCGATGACGTGATACTTGTAGTAACACAGCTCGCAGCTCCAGCAGCCCCTCTCGCTGATCCATTTGATCAGACAAGGCTGGTGCGTGCACTTCACCGATCCGTCGCACCGGCACGGGCTCAGCAGCTCCCCCTGGAAAGAGACAGACAGACAGTCAGCAAGGGCTCCCTGCCGGCTGCCCAGCTGGTCTGGAAGAAGCGAGGCAAGGCGAGTCAGCTGGGGTTCCCTTTGCAATCTAAAGGGCTTTGGTCACAGCAGCCTGTTCTTTGTTCTTCGAGGAGGTTTTATTGTGTTCATGAAATTCCTTGCCTAGCGAAAGGGGCTGGACAGAGAGCTCTGGGGACAGCTGGCCTGTTCTCCTTATTGCCCTTCCAATGAGCATCTCCCCGAGACAAGATTGATCTCTGTTATCATAAGAACTGCAAGACTGGGTCAGACTAAAGATCCGTCTGCCCAGTGTCCTGTCTGTCCACAGTGCCCAATGCCAGGTGCCCCAGAGGGAGTGAACAGAACAGGGAATCATCCAGTGATCCCTCCCCTGTCACCCATTTCCAGACAAACAGAGTCTGGGGACACCATTCCTACCCATCCTGACTAGTAGCCATTGATGGACCTAATCTCCATGAATTTATCTAGTTCTTTTCTGAACTCTGTTAAAGTCCTGGTCTTCACAACATACTCTGGCAAGGAGTTCCACAGGTTAAATTTCTGCTGTGTGAAGAAAAACTTCCTTTTGGTTCTTGTAAACCTGCTGCCTATTAATTTCATTTGGTGACCCCTAGTTCTTATGTTATGGGAACAAGTAAATGACTTTTCCTTATTCACTTCCTCCACACCTGTCATGATTTTATAGCCCTCTATCCTATCCCCCCTTAGTCTCATCTTTTCTAAACTGAAAAGTCCCAGTCTTTTGAATCTCTCTTCATCTGGAACCCGTTCTAAACTCCAAATCATTTTTGTTGCCCTTTTCTGAACCTTTTCCAACACTAAGATACCTTTTTTGAGATGAGGCAAACACATCCGTATGCAGCATTCAAGATGTGGGCGTATCATGCATCCCTTACATTGTGACCCCCACCTCTGACAGTGGAAAAGCCACGTTGTCAACCTCTGCGAGATGTTTCGCTTTGTTCAGAGGACTAACGGCTTTTTAAAGGCAGGGTTAGATTGCCCCCCAGAAGAGAGATGAGGAACCTGTGGAGGTTCCCCTCACAGCCATCCCTCAACACAAGGGCTGTGTCTACACTGGCCACTTATTCCGGAAAATCAGCCGCTTTTCCGGAATAATTTGCCAGCTGTCTACACTGGCCCCTTGAATTTCCGGAAAAGCACTGACGATCTACTGTAAAATCATCAGTGCTTTTCCGGAAAAACTATGCTGCTCCCGTTCGGGCAAAAGTCCTTTTCCGGAAAACTGTTCCAGAAAAGGGCCAGTGTAGACAGCCCAGTAGTCTTTTCCGCAAAAAAGCCCCGATCGCGAAAATGACGATCAGGGCTTTTTTGCGGAAAAGCGCTACGTTGGCATGGACGCTTTTCCGGAAAAAGTGCTTTTCCGGAAAAGCATCCTGCCAATGTAGACGCACTTTTTCTGGAAATACTTATAACGGAAAACTGTTCCGTTTTAAGCATTTCCGGAAAATCATGCCAGTGTAGACGTAGCCTAATATTTTTAAATATGGGAAGTGGAACTGAGGAGGGGAACACATCCAAGGTGAAAGCAAAGTAATTGCAAAGGCACAAGGACTGCATACATATGGTCCTGAACTTATGGAGATTCCCAAGGATCCCTACTGATTTCTGAGGATCTGCTAAGTTTGAAGGCAGAGTTTGCAGCCTAGTTTGTGAGGCATAAACCTTAACTCAGAACAAAATTATCTGGGAGGAAATCTGTCAGAAGATGCTCAAGGAGTTTTTCTGTGTGTTGGGATAATCCTGCAGCCAAACAGTCATTATAGGAGAACCTGCTGGTTTGCTGAAGTTTGAAATGCAGCTGTTTTCTGCAGCTGTATGACCTTTGCTACTTCTTTTATTGTGGGGTTCCACAGGGATCAGTTCTCTTCAATATCTTCATCAATATTTTAGATACAAGGTATTAGCAATATACTTATAAAGTTTGTGGGTAATCCCAAATTGGGAGGGGTTGCAAGTGCTTTGAAGAACAGGATTATATTTCAAAATGATCTAGACAAACTGGAGAAATCTTCTGAGGTAAATAAGATGAAATTCCTTAAGGACAAATACAAAGTACTCCACTTAGGAAGGTTGCGCACATAGAAGACAGGAAGTGATTGCATAGGAAGGAATTCTATGGAAAGGGATCTGGGGGTCATAGTCAACCACAAGCCAGATAAGAGTCACTGTGACACTTGCAAAGAAACAGAGAATCTTTTTCAGTGGAAAAGGCAATATGACACTTTTTTGAGGCCATAATACATAGATTAGCATGCATACACTCACACAGTGTCCCACCAATGATGTTATAGTTACCAATTAGAGGCTTGGACCAACCTAGTGGAAAGTTAGGCTGGATGTGAGCAGAGAGCCGGGTTCTGTTCGTCATGATTCTGATGCTCTGAAGCTGCTGCTTGGCAGAACGAATCCAAAGTCTCATGGCGAGACACCCGATCTTGTATAGGCTTTTCTTCTTATACATGGAAAAACTTGAAAAACAACAAATAGTCTTGCAGTACCTTCGGGTATGTCTACACTACCACCCTAGTTCGAACTAGGGTGGTTAATGTAGGCAACTGGAGTTGCAAATGAAGCCCGGGATTTGAATTTCCTGAGCTTCATTTGCATATTGCCGGGCGCCGCCATTTTTAAATGTCCGCTAGTTCGGACTCCCCCGCCCGGCTGCCCAGCTGGTCTGGAAGAAGCGAGGCAAGGCGAGTCAGCTGGGGTTCCCTTTGCAATCTAAAGGGCTTTGGTCACAGCAGCCTGTTCTTTGTTCTTCGAGGAGGTTTTATTGTGTTCATGAAATTCCTTGCCTAGCGAAAGGGGCTGGACAGACAGCTCTGGGGACAGCTGGCCTGTTCTCCTTATTGCCCTTCCAATGAGCATCTCCCCGAGACAAGATTGATCTCTGTTATCATAAGAACTGCAAGACTGGGTCAGACTAAAGATCCGTCTGCCCAGTGTCCTGTCTGTCCACAGTGCCCAATGCCAGGTGCCCCAGAGGGAGTGAACAGAACAGGGAATCATCCAGTGATCCCTCCCCTGTCACCCATTTCCAGACAAACAGAGTCTGGGGACACCATTCCTACCCATCCTGACTAGTAGCCATTGATGGACCTAATCTCCATGAATTTATCTAGTTCTTTTCTGAACTCTGTTAAAGTCCTGGTCTTCACAACATCCTCTGGCAAGGAGTTCCACAGGTTAAATTTCTGCTGTGTGAAGAAAAACTTCCTTTTGGTTCTTGTAAACCTGCTGCCTATTAATTTCATTTGGTGACCCCTAGTTCTTATGTTATGGGAACAAGTAAATGACTTTTCCTTATTCACTTCCTCCACACCTGTCATGATTTTATAGCCCTCTATCCTATCCCCCCTTAGTCTCATCTTTTCTAAACTGAAAAGTCCCAGTCTTTTGAATCTCTCTTCATCTGGAACCCGTTCTAAACTCCAAATCATTTTTGTTGCCCTTTTCTGAACCTTTTCCAACACTAAGATACCTTTTTTGAGATGAGGCAAACACATCCGTATGCAGCATTCAAGATGTGGGCGTATCATGCTACATTCACCACTGCATCCATATGCTGAGGGGCGTGTTTTAATCACTTCACCCAGTTGTTACAGGGAATCCCTTAAATTCTAACCCCCACCTCTGACTGTGGAAAAGCCACGTTGTCAACCTCTGCGAGATGTTTCGCTTTGTTCAGAGGACTAACGGCTTTTTAAAGGCAGGGTTAGATTGCCCCCCAGAAGAGAGATGAGGAACCTGTGGAGGTTCCCCTCACAGCCATCCCTCAACACAAGGGCTGTGTCTACACTGGCCACTTATTCCGGAAAATCAGCCGCTTTTCCGGAATAATTTGCCAGCTGTCTACACTGGCCCCTTGAATTTCCGGAAAAGCACTGACGATCTACTGTAAAATCATCAGTGCTTTTCCGGAAAAACTATGCTGCTCCCGTTCGGGCAAAAGTCCTTTTCCGGAAAACTGTTCCAGAAAAGGGCCAGTGTAGACAGCCCAGTAGTCTTTTCCGCAAAAAAGCCCCGATCGCGAAAATGACGATCAGGGCTTTTTTGCGGAAAAGCGCTACGTTGGCATGGACGCTTTTCCGGAAAAAGTGCTTTTCCGGAAAAGCATCCTGCCAATGTAGACGCACTTTTTCTGGAAATACTTATAACGGAAAACTGTTCCGTTTTAAGCATTTCCGGAAAATCATGCCAGTGTAGACATAGCCAAGAGGAATAAGGCTTGTGTGTAGGGTTGCCAGATGGTTTAACAAAAAATACCAACCACCCCCTGCAAAAAACAAAACAAAACAAAAAAACACCGGGAAAAAATACTGTGAGGAAAAAAAAAAGGGGGAGAGACCAAAGTTGTTGAGCAAAAAAAAAAAGGCTCCAAGTCTGATCTTAGCGGGGGGGCGGAGAGGAGGGAGACCTTGTACCGCATCTTACACCACTCTCTCCAGTTTGGGGCCACACACTAACCCCCAGTGCACTCACCCCTCCCCCTCAGCCAGGCACCCCAAAGCCCCCCCTTCCAATGCACTCACCCCTGCCTCAGTGCCAGACTCCTCACAGAGTCCCCCATCCCAGTGCACTCGCCCCGTCCCCTGAGCCAGGCATCCCCAGGGCGCCCCACCCCCTGCAGAGCCAGGCACCGGAGGACCGGGACGGCCGAGTAAGCAAATCTGACTTTTAAACTCGCCGCTCCTGCCGCCCGCCCCGGCTGCCTCGGTTCACAGTGTGTAGAGGGAGGCATCATGTGGCCAGCTCCTGGGTCTCTGCTCAAAGGGTCACGTGGGCCAGAGCAGCATGCGCTCTGCTCCCACCCCAGTCCGGCACCCCCCTAGTGTGGCGCCTAGCAAGTGCCCTCTTTTGCCCCCCCCTTCACTATGCCTCTGCTGCCCTCCTCACTCTCCTGCCCCCGCCAGATGCAGCAGGGGAAAATTGTCCTCGCC